GATTCCCATGTTTTCAGATATTAGGAATTGTCTTGACAGGTCGCCTTCTTAATTAAACCCGTGTTATCTGGACAAATTGTGGACCCCTATCCCTGGTCGTCTGCTGCATCTCTAGTAGATTTCTAGTACATTTTGGCCATAATGCCGAATTTCTGTGACGGTTGGTCTTACCCGTCTTCCTAGTTCCGTGATTGCTAGGCTCCCATAACTATAGTGATTTATTCTGGCAGACTTTACTCATTGACGTCTTCGCTTGATTTCCGAAATTCCCTCTCTTTCTTCCTTGTGCATTTGTTTGACAAAACATTGCTCAAGGGGTTGATTTCACTTTTCTCTTTGACGAGTTGTAGCTTAGTGCGGAGAATGGCAATACTCACTGATAATGCCAACTACGATGCCGGTGAAACGTCTGAGAATGCACTAAGTTCACGGTCTGATGCTGGAAATTATAACTACTATGGCAGAGAACTTCGGCCAAGGCACGTTCAACTAAGTCCTCCTAATAGCAAAACCAAGTTGTTAAAACGAGGTAAACCAATTTCTATTATTCAAAAGGAGACTGCGACTATACTGAGGGCCACACCACCTTGATCTTCATACCTTTAATTGGGGACATACGAGTTTAAACCATTTTTTGGTAACATTATAGATTCGAGTTTGAGTCCAAAGCTGTCGCACTTAAGGCCTTTACTTTCTCAGAAGATTTCTAAAAAGATATTTTAAATTATTAATGATACGGAATTTTGAAAAGAACGGTAGTCCTTAGTTTTTGCTAAAGCTTACCAAATAAGCTCCTTCATTATTTTTCCTTCGAATTATGAGGAATTGATATTCATGCAAACAAAGCTTTTAACGACCAAACGATTTACTAGAATACAATTGAAAGCCTAGTATATAGGGAAAACGCAAAAAATACGAATAATCAGGGAAATCTCCGGCGTTATCCTTCTAAAAAAAACTAGTTAACAAAACATTGGAAACCGAGAATCGGTTAGAATTTTGTTTACTCTTTGGGCAGAGTTTAAGAAATTTGGAATTTTGCAGGGACAGCTAAAATTAGACATTTGGACTAAGGGCATATATCGAACAACGGGAAGAGATAACGCTTATTTAAATCTAGTGTGGTTCGCCCTTTTGAGCGGCTTTCATGAGGAATCTCCACACTCCACGCTGGCGTTCTCGTCCCCCTTCACACTTGTTGATCAGAGTCTGCCATATTTTTAAGCAGTCCTCCTTCCCTAGGTCTTATCAGAGTCTGCCTCTTGCCCCATAGGATCCGTCTTCTATCTCCTTGATTCAAGTATTTCACTCGAGCCCTGCCACCCCTTCTGTGCTACTCGAGGCTTTATTACCCATCCCCTGCGTCTTGGTGACCAATTCGAGGCTAAAACCTCTAGTAAGTCTCATGGTCAAGCCTTTGCTATATGGGCCACGTCTGTAGTAAAACATGACTACTGTCAACCAACTAGCTCTAGTCTCCGCCGCGTCTATCCTGTTTTTAGCCCTAATACCAAGTCTATGACCTGCTTTGTCCTAGTATCTTGTGTGCCTACCCACAAATGTTATGTTACTGCTTGCTTTGATTAGGTTCACTGTTGAACCACAGCGTTTGGTGGATTGGCACACAAGAGACTAGAGCATAGCAAGTCATAGACTGGGTATTACGGATAGAAACAGGATAGACGCGGTGGAGGCTAGAGCTTGTTGACTAACAATAGAAGTGCTTCACGGACCACGTCTATCGTTAGCCAAATAGGTCTAGTCTCCACCGCGTCTATCCTGTTTTTATCCATAATACCATGTCTATCACGCCCTATGTCCTAGTCTCATTTACCTTATAAATTTTTTTGGATTTCACCTTTATTCTATCATCTTCTTTGTGTCTATTAATATGTGGAAGGCTTTGAATCTGACTTTGCTATTATTTTATTTGACGCTTAGAATTTTCTAAATACCTTAAAATCCTTTATATCAATTACTCTAACAAGCGATATTTTTTATTTAATGTGATCTGACTATTTCCTTTTTTATACTATAAAGATCTCAGCTATTTTAACTTTATTTAATTTCCACATTTATGTGGTGTTATTTTATTTTATATTGGAGAAACCGAGAAACAACAAAATTTTTCTTTAATAATAATGGAAAATATTTATCATAAAATGCTTGAATCGGATCAATATTCATATATATCTATTTAAGTATATTTATTAAAACAAGCTTTAAGAATTTATAAAATCGTTCCAGCTTTTTCGTTAAGGGTTCTTAAATAATAAGAGCTTGCATAACGTTCCTAAGCTCTTAATAAAGTGTCATGAAAGCTAAATCCAAAGTAAATTAGAACTTTTGAATCGATATCTCGAATGTCTTGGCGAAAGCACTTTGTATGATAAGGTCTAGCATTATACTCATGAATGGTCTGCTTTTTTATTGACCGAAATTTACGATTGTTTACAGATCAGTAAAACTTTTCAGTAGATATTAGTCAAGATAATCTAATACTTCTCAAAACCATCGAATATAATTTTTCTAAAGCACTCTAACAAACATTTAATAATCAAATTTTCAGTTTAGACCTGGTTTAGGTGATATGATTTGACCATTTTATTTTATATTTTGGTTATGGCAAAGTATAAAGATCCCAACAAAATCATATAAAAATATTCTTCTTTATTTGCGCCTATTTTTTATACAGCATTTCATGGAGTACCTAAATTCGTATTTTGCAATTTAAACTACATTCATTGATTCTTAATATAACTTTTTGATTGGCCTCAATAGAAATTGAATAAAGATGGTTTTTTGGTCCTCTTGAAATTGGCAAACTTCTTTATTGAGATCGTCGTACTCCTCAAGGAGGATCCCTTCATACTATTATGTTGTCTGTCCTATGACATACATCGTCAGAACGAGACTAAGACCTATAAAATTTTATAATCTTTCGTATTTCGAAACTGCTCGTATAGATTTTGGCGAATGAAGCTGCCTTTATAATCATTTTATCAATCTGCTAGGATTCTAGCGGGAAGAGGCTATCCACTGATCCACTGTAATTATTATGCAGATACCTCCGAATCTAAATTCAAGAGATCATTGTTACTATTTGTAGAAATTTTATTTCACAAGACTTACATCATTTTGGAATCGAATCCGCCTAATTTAGGGATTCGATATTATTCATAGTATAATTCAGAAGCCGGCAGTTGATTTACCCATCATTAGATTGTTAAAAAAAGCCTGATTTTTCTATGAAATTTCCTATTCTATTTATTTTATACCCACACCCTGATTTCAGCTTTTACTAGAGGCGTTGCAGAAAATTCAGCTTACATTTTTATTTGCTTTTCTGTTAAATTACATCTTAGGTGTGATTTATGCCTATTATGGTATTATTTTGTTGTTCATATAATTTTATCTTTATAATGCCCTTATAGCTCTCACTTGCTACTGGACTTGTCGTTGCCGATGCTAGCGTATAGGGAACACCAGCGCTTAATCACTCAGCTTCCTGCAGCCGAAACATGTTTATCTAAGACTCTCGATTCTAGACGCAAGAGGACTCGACTTATTTTACGGCAAACTAGGCATAGACAACATCACATAAAGCGTAGAAAGCATAGAATCTCTTCTCATCAAAGACCAATGCGAAGTCATGTCTTCTCCACGCAGTCCCAAGAATCACCACTGCCTACTTCCTTATCAGGGAAGAGGACCCATCACCCTAGAAAACTTCGCGTACCCTATCGTATTCGCCGATCTCATGTTGGACATAATTTGTATAGTCATCGCTACCATCACCATCAACCGCTTCGAAGTCATCATCTAAATGATCTTCCTCGGTCGCATTTAATTTCACCGTTTCGATCCCCTAAACAGACCCCCCAGCCCCTCTCTGAATACCTGACGCGCGTGTTTGCTCCGCCACCTGCTGAAGCCGTTCAGGTATACCGAGCAATACGCATGTCAGCACAGAGTTTGAGCTATGAACCTGCAAGCCTACCAGTCGACCTTCTCGGCAGGTTGCTACCGCCTGTCTGGCGCCCAGTGAACAACCTAATTGTAAAGGCATCAGCACCAAACAGTTATGATCCCTCGGTACCGCCAGGCCGGCTAATGAAGCTATTAGATACTGCGCAAGCAGCCGCAGTAGAGACCTGCTGCCTGTTACCGCGCACCGCCTGCCTAGAGCCGGGGACTGGCTTGCTGCATACCTCATTCGATATTGGACTTGCACTTGCCTGCTTCCATCCCATCAGCTTTATTGATCACCCTAAAATGCCTTCTTCTTGGAGCGGCAACTGTTATGACCGTCGGCCTCCTGTTCTTCTACTGGCTTTGCAGGTGGATGGGACTGCAGTTAATTGGTATGATCTTGACGGCAGCTTAATCAAATCAGTTGCTGTGCCTTGCTTACCAGTCGCATTATTTCGCGCTCTCCTTCAACGCGTACTAACGGGCCATAATCTGGTTTCTAGAAGTTCGACAATGGAGCGGGTTATTTTTACCCTTGTCCCAACATTCGCCTCTGAGCCTCTAGTTGCTTCGCAACCCACAGTATTAAAACAAAGGCTACAAAGTGAGGTCTCATTCGACACAAAACTATTCTCTCCTCGTCGATCATCTTTAACCTTTTTCACTGGCTGTCTTAAGAAGACCCTAGGAAGAGCACGTCTTAGCAATGGGGGATCGCACGCTCATGTTCCTAAGACTTCTACCTCTGAATCAACTTTGCTGGCGACGCTTCTGCCTTATTTCGCTCGGAAACTAAGCTCTGTCTCTACCAAATCATTAAATAGTTTGTCAAACTCGTGGAAATCCTTCGGCGACTCACCAAATTTCCGAGACTCTACGACTCATGAGTTAACAGAACCTGTTACGGCCGGTCTCAGTCTTCTACAGATTGATTTGCTTTCAGGTCAACACGTTGTTTGTGCTAAACTGACCGCACCAGGCTGGGCCGAAATTTTTAAACAAGCAAGTCCCGAATTTGTTACTCGCGACTGGGTTGTTGCCCTGCTCCATCGGCATCGACGCCTCTACGTCGGTAGACTAGGCGGAACTGACAGACCTGATCGACTAGTTGTGAGAGGTGAGCGCT